AAATGCAAATAAAAACATTTTATTGTTCTTCATCCAACAAAGAGAAAAAAGTATTGTGATAAAAATTCTGATATGTTTCTATATGGAATATTTTTATCCTGTTAAAAAGAATAAGGCAGCACTTTATGTATTGCATGTGTATTAGAACAATCTTCATGATAATAATACAGCAATCTACAAAATGGTGGAAATAGTTTGTTATCAAACTGCCATTGTATAAGACTGCAGATAGTCAGGTGTGGTGGCACATGCCTATAATCAGTGGGAGAATGAGGCAGGAGGATCACCATGAGTTCAAGGCCAGCCTGGGCTACATATTAAGTTCAAAGCCAGCCTGAACTGAACTATACAGTAAGAACCTATCTCAAAAAGAAGAAAAAAAATTGCACATATTCCAAACCCTGACACATAAACTTGATTATAGGTACATCTGTGGAGAAGAGAACTGGGAGGCTGGGAAACAAAGCTGTAAGAAAAAGTTTTAAAAAATTATTATTTTGTACTTTTTCAGTTTTTTTTCCTTTCTGCATTTCTAATTAACAAGGCACAGAAGTCTAATGGGGAAAGATGTATTTCTTCTGATAAAAAAAGGAAATCCCAAAGGTTTTGTTAGATGGCTAGATTCTTTCTGGTTCTTGTTTTTTATTTCTAATTAACTTATTTATTAGCTGGTATTACTTTATTTGACATTTAGTCACTAATCAATCACCTACTATAGGTCAGATATTATGCTAGCAATGGTGATATAACCTAACTCTGGTACATAGAAGTATTGAGGATACGGACTTGTAAGTAGCCAATTATAAAACAAAATGATGAAACAGACAACTCTTTGGTGAGCTTAAGAACAGGAAGCCATGTAACATAAATCCTGACCGGATAACACAAAACTTGATAATAGGTACTGGCTGTGGAGAAGAGAACTGGATGGCTGGGAAACAAAGACACTATGGGTGTCTAGCTGGTTAAAGGAGGACTCCTAAAGGAAATTATGTATAAATTCAGGCCTAGGGAGGAGAACAAAGGTAAGAGAAAATTATCCATATAAAGGACAAAATGTGGATGTTATGTCAAGTTCTTTAAAAAGAGTGGAGCTTAGTATATGAGGCATGGGACATGTGCAGGAATGTGCTCAGAAACAAATGGAGAGGTAGACAAGGCTCAAATCATGAAGGGCTTTATAGGGCAGGGAAGATTTTCTCTTAGAAAATAAAACAAGAAGATATTTATACATTTGCATTTTGGAAAGCCCTTCTAGATGAAAAGTGGGTAAGGATATCAAGGATATATAGGATGCAGTTCAGAGATGATGCAACAGTCTAAGAAGCTTCAATCAGTATACTGTCAGTGTTGAAATGAAGATTTCAAGCAGTAAGATTACTGAGGAGGCAGAACTAAAGAATCTGAATGTGTGAGAAAAATCAAGTGTGATTCCTGGGAAATTGGTCAGATGATGGTGACAATTATAGTGAATAAGGGAGGACAGTTGTTAGGACAGTAGGCTTAGTATTAGATTTGTCAATTTGAAGTGTCCGAGGGAAACTGAAGATAATATAGGTGGCTGGAACTACTGGCTGAGATTTAGGTTGGTAATAAAGATTTCTTCTAATTTTTCTGTGAGACTGAGATGTTCTGGAAATAAGATGAACCAGAAGACTTAATAAAAACAATACCATGATTTATGGTAATATCAGCATTGTGTGAATTTTTTTTCTAGCTTTGCCCAGGACCCAGGTGCCTTATACATTGGTATAGAAGGCAAGCAATTGGATTAATCAGAATTAGAGTTTTGCCAGGACCATAACAGCTGAAATACAGGAAATGGGAATAAGGATAACAGCAAGAAAGTGTATAAAACTGAACTTAAATTAGATACTATGGTCTGGGGGCTGTACTGGCCAGTTTTTTGTCACTGTGACCAAAATACCTGATATAACATAACTTAAAAGGGAAAAGGTTTATTTTGGCACATACATTTCAGAGTTTCAGTCCATGACCAGGAGGTTCCAAGGCAGAAAGAGGACAGCAAAGATCAAAGCTGCTTATTGCCAGAAAGGAGAGCACAGAGGAAGGGCCAGGCACCAGATATAGTTGTCAAGGTTATACCCCCATAATCCATCCAAACACACCCAGAAGTATGTTTTAGTAATCTCCTAGGCATCTCTCAAGTCTAACGAATTGACAGTCAAGATTATCCATCACAGGGCTCGGGATTTAGCTCAGTGGTTCCGCTGCCTGCCTTGCAAGCACAAGGACCCGAGCTCAATCCTCAGTACAAAAAAACAAAAACAAAAACAAAAAAAAACAAAACATTACCTGTCACAGATGTGGCCCATCCCCAAAGGGTTCAAGTGCTGAAAGTTTGGTCCCCACTGTGGCAATGTTAAGAAATGGCAGACTCTTTAAGAGGTAAAGTCTAGTGGGAAGAATTAGGTCACTGAGTGCTCACGTTTAGAATGAACTGATGTTGTTCTTGTGGGCCATGGTTGAGAGGGTTACTATAAAACAGTGATCCTGATCTTTGAATCACTCTCTGGCTTCCAGTCTTTTCATGTGATCTCTCCTCTCACACATGCTCCAGCAATGATGCCATTCACTATAATATGGTGTAGCTCAGGGAGCCCTCAACAAAATTGAATTCATGCTATTCTTTCAGGTTCCAAAACTGTGACTGAAATAAAAACACCTAGCCTGAGACATTTTATTATAGCAATGGAAAAGGGGTTAATAGAGTGGATCAATCAGGGGACAAGTGAAATCTCAAGGTCATATAGGAGATACAAAATGAATTCAATTTGAGGCATAGTTAGAAATTACTTTATTCAGACTTGAAAAGATCCAAGATAAGCCAAGAGGCCTAGGAGACTGGAGTGGAATGAAAAAGCATTTTATATCTAGCATACTAAAAAAAAGTAAATTTCCAGAATAAGAAAGGATTTCCCTTCCCCCAACTTCTATGCATCAACATACTGGCAAGTCTACCCAAAGCAATTTGGCAGGAAAGCAAAATAAAAGGCACCTAAATCAGACATGGAATGGGTGAAAATAAATGTTAATAGGATATGGAGAAATTGGAACATTTGTGTATTCTTGGGTAAAATGGTACAGTAGCTAAGTGTAATATATGGCAATTTCTCAAAAAAATTAGTGGAATTGTCCACTTCCACGTATACAATCAAAAGAAGTCAAAGCAAGGACTTGAATAAACATTTATATGCCTGTGTTCATAGTGGTCTTATTCACAACAGTCAAAAGGTGAAAGCAATCTTAGCATCTATTGATGGATATTTGAATAAACTAAATGTAGTAAATAAATACAACAGAATGTTATTTAGGTTTAAAAAAGAAAAAAATTCTGAAGCATGCTATAACATGGATGGATCTTGAAGACAAAATATTAAAGTGAACCATAGTAGTTAAAGAGGGACAGATATTGTATAAGTTCACTTAAACAAGGTACCTAGAGGAGTCAAATTCATAGAGATACAAAGTAGAATGGTGGATCCCAGGGGCTGAGGAAAACGGGAGTGGGATTTTAGTGCTAATATGTACAGTTTCAGTTTGAGAAGACAAAAATATTCTGGAGATGGATGATGGTGATGGTTGCACAAAATGCCGTAGAACTGTACACTCCAAAATGATTCAAAGAGTAAATTTTGTGTTATGTATATTTTATTACAATGGAAAAGAAAGAAAAGATAGGGGTAAGTCTTAACGGCCTTGTACATGGCAATGGTTTCTTAGGTATGACACTATAAACACAAGAAAAAAAAGTCTAGATTTTATCACAACATATTTGTACATCAAAGGATATAATAAAAAGGTGAAGAGAAGACTCACAAAAAGGAAAATATTTATAAAACATATATTAGATAAGAATCTACTATTTAGAATACCAAGAACTCTTAAAAGTCAACAACAAAAAGAAAAAAACAGTCCTTTATAACTGAACAAAAGACTTGAATGGATATTTATCCAAAGAAAATATATAAGTGGCCAACAATTACATGAAAAAATACTCAATATCATTAGTCTTTAGGGAAATGCAACCTAAAGCTATACAGCTTCACATACACTAGGATGAACATTTTAAAGAGAAGGAAAACTAACAAATAGTGTTAAAGATGTGGTGAAATCAGAAGCATCATTCATTGCTGGCAGGAAGGTAAAGTAGTGTGTCTCATAAAGAAAACAGTTTGAAAGTACTTCCAAAAGGTAAGCATCTGCTCTTCAGTAAATAACCAAATAAAGAATACCAAAAAGAGATGCTAAAACACACAAAATACATGAGTGTTTAGAGCAGCATTATTCACAACTACCAAATGGTGGAAACGGTACAACCGTCCATCAGTCAATGACAAACAAATTGGGGAATATCCATATAAGTCGGCAATAAAAAGGAATGAAGTACTGTTACATGCTACAACATGGATACACTTTTGAAAACATTTTAAGTAAAGAAGCCAGACAAGAAAGAGCACACTTTTCATGATTTCATTTATATGAAATAACCAGAATAGACATAGAAATCCTAGAGTTCACAGAAAAGCAAAGCAGCTTAGTGGTTGCCAAAGTCTGGGACTAGGGGAAAACAGGACATGAAAATTTAATAAGTATAAGGGTTTCCTTTTGGGGTGATACAATGTTACAGAACTATGTATATAGTAATGTTGTTATAACACTGCAATGTATTAAATGCTACTGAATTATATGCTTTAAAATAGTTATTCTTGGGCTGGCCATTTAACTCAGTGGTGCCACTGCCTGCCTTGCAAGCACAAGGTGCTAAGTTGGATCCGATCCCTGGTACAAAAAAAAAAAGTTTTTCTCTTAAATTTTCTTATGTGGATTTTACTTTTTTTTTTTTTTTCCAAAGCTCCCTCTTTGGCCGGGGATTTAGTTCAGTGACACCGTGTCTGCCTTGCAAGCACATGGTCCTGCGTTTGATCCCTGCTACCGCCAAAAAAAAAGCCCCCCAAAAGTTCCCTTATCATTCTTACCTTACAATTAACATCAGCTTTATATTGTAGCAAAACTGTGACTAAATCCTTATGTCCTCGATCACATGCCCAATGGAGTAGAGCTCTGCCCTAAAAAGAGAAAAAAAAATCCGTTAACTTGCTAATTCAGTTATGGGGTCATATAAAAGATACAATGTTTTAAGAAAGACAAATAAATAAAATTGTAGGTTCATTATTCTAGGAACAATTGATTTAAAAAAAGAATATAAAAAGAGCAACTGGCAATCAACTGGAAGCCCTGAGCCTTACTCATTAAGTCATCTATAGGATGGAAATAATGGTGCTAACCAGAGCAATATTATTAATAATAATTGTTAAATTAATGAACTATAAAAAATGCTTTGTAAATTTTAATTTATTTATAAACATATATAGTTTTCTTAAATTATTATGTTCACTTCTTCAGGTGAAAGAAATCTTATGGGCAAAAAGAATACTTAAACTTAGGTAGAAATAATAATTTAAAGGAATTATATCTAAATTTCCTTAATTTTATCCCTTAAAAAAATGAAACTAACCATTGCTCCTTAATGTTACAATTTTATGCTCTGAAATATCTGGAAAATCTACTAGTGTTTATCATCAAATAGTATGGCTTTTTTTTTTTTGTACCGGGGATTGAACTCTGGTCCTTGCGCTTGCAAGGCAGGCCACCGAACTGCTGAGCTAAATCCCCGGCCCAATCATCAAATAGTATGAAAGGCAATTGTAAAACAGAATAGATGACTGTTAGAAAAATCTAAATATAATACATTATACTGTCTACTAAAGTCTCATAGTTACTATTAACATGTCATTTCTATTTCTTACTGTTAGAAAATCTTGGTCTACCTAAACTAATGAAAGAAGCCTAATTGGCCCTCTCAAATAAACACAACCTCCAAAAGTCTAAGCTTTTCTGAAGAAATGAACAATGTATGGCTTAATACTGCTTTTTGAGTATAGTACTATTATTGTTATAAAGAACAGAATGCTACACATTAAATTGAAATCTCTGCTTTATTTCATTTTAGAAAAGATTTAAATAGATATAAGTTGGGGCAAGAATGGCTTTAGAGTAAATAGTACCTTGTAAGATAGCTTTTCTAAAGTTGCCAATACTCTTACATTAATCATTCAGACTCTTTTCATGTACCTGTTAGTTCAATGAATTAAACCAGGACCCATTCTTCAAACCAAAAAAACAGGATAGGACAACTTTCTTACATATCGTCTCTTTTTAAAAACTTTCATTTGGTTGGTTTGCTTTTATTTAACTGTAAATATCTGTTCTCCAATAGGCTTACACAGGTCCCATAAGAGAGAGAAACCAAGAATTTTTAAATGCAGGTAAATCATTCACCATGTGTTGTAGTAGCAAAATTGTTTTATTATACTGTGTTCAGAGCCCACTAAGAGTTTTTTTTTAGAAAACATTTTTAAAGGCCCAGTTTAAAAAAGGTTCTTGAGCTCTTGAGCAGCATTTGATATGTTAAAAATTTCTAGAACTCTAGTGTGTACTGACCTAATGCTACTAAGGTACTCATTCAAAAATCTTTCACAAGGATGGATACTTTAATGGAAATATTTTAACTAATAACTATGTATACAATATTATTGTTCAATATAACAGTTTCACAGATTTTACCTTAGAACAATCAGATACAATTTTCTAAGTTTCTATCATTTTAAATTATTATTTTAAATGTGTATTTTAAGGTTAATAAATTAAACTATTAACAAGAATTACTACATAGTTAAAATTATGTGAGATATATGAACACATACCTAATAGTTAAATAGGAAAACATAATACTAATGTATCTAGTGCTTTTACCACAAGGTGTACAGATAATTTCTATCTCTCAACCAGCTTCCTGATTTTTTCCTTAGGTTTGACCCACAGAGGTTATATCAACTAATGCTAAAATAAAAATCCTTAACTGTTTCAATGAAAAAGACAAGCAACACATTTTAGTGTTAATAGGAGTTATATTTTAAATTTGCCATATATGGTGCCAAAATTTTACTTTAGGGGAAACACCTATGACTGGACCTCAGTAGTAATTTTCACTTTGGATATATTTTCCAGAAGGATGGCAAACGTATAGTAACGTTTCAAGAAGGATGATGTGCTCTCAGACATTTACACTAAGCTTTTTAACATGTGTTTTGACCTGTGATATAATTAATTTTTGTAACACATTATTTTAATGGTATACCAATTAACCTTGAATTGGAATAAATTCTCTGACAATGACTTTCTGTAGAAGTGCTGAAGATGTCTACATTAAGACCACCTAATGATTAATATTTTATGCGGCATTAAAAAATTCAGAATTAAGAGTAGGATTGAATATACTTGTAAATAAACATAGATAAAACAGATCAGGCTTAAGAAGCTTTACCTACATGATACTCTATATTTGAATTAACAAAGACCAGCACAATAGTATCTATACCTTTTACTCCTTCAAACTATAAAGTTCCTGAAGACATGCTCTTAAGATTATTATTCAAGTGATAACATACCAGTAATTCAAAGAGATGTTACCTCCATAGCTAATTATGACAAAAAACAGGTAATAAATGTCCCTTGCTTCTCTCTCTGTGTAGTAAACTTATTTAGACCAATACAAATTATTACATTATTTTAGGTGTAAGATTCCATAAACTCTCTTCCAGAAGGTAAATCTTGAATTTGATATAGATTAAAGCTATTATCTGCTTCAATACCTTACATAAACTTAAAAATTGTTTACCTAGTTCTATACATATTGTTTTCTTTTATTATAATCTCTTACACATTTTCAGGTTAAATATTTTTTTTACTGCAACCAAAAACATAATAATACTCGTTGTTTTTAGTTTGTAAAAAACTCTTTTGGAAAAATATCCCAGGCATATTTAGGAGATGAAGGAGGTATCAGTAAAAGGAATCTATTAGATCACCAGAAGACTATAGGCACTGTTTGCAGAGCTCTACATGTCAAATATAGTAAAATGGGGGAAGGATTCCATCTGTTAACCAATAATGTTAATACTGTCCTACCTCAGACAGATGAATGACTCTAAAGTGCTTTGAAAGTGCAGAGTAGCAACTAACCTATTAAGTGGTATTACTTTCATACCTTTGGGAAAATACAAAGAGCAGGACTTAATATTTTAAATGCGTCTATGATATTCCTGATTATTTGTTCTTAAACCATATAGAATTTTAAAAGTAGATTTTTTGAGTATCACACAATTTAAAGAAAGAGCCTCTATAATAAAATGAATTTTGATATCCTTATGGAATTCTGAGATGATATACTATATACAAAGGATGGTCAAATAAAGTCAATGTTTAATTTTTAAAAATTATAATAGTGAAAGATGCATTGTCATTAATAACTCAAAATGTTCCCCCTCCCTCCTGCTTTGAACATACTCACTCCATCAGTTCTGGAAATCCTGTTTCATTAGTGTCTTTATGAGGTGAGGAATGATCAAAAATACGGTGAAGGCCACTGTTTTGTATCATCTAATAAAAAGACAGGCTTGGAAAAATCTTTTAATATGCCCTCATCCACCTAATTCACCAGATCTGGCACTGTGAAACTTCTGGCTTTTCCCCAAAGTCAAATGATAATGAAAGATAAATGTTTTAAATCAATCCAGGACACTGAGGCAACTATAACCGCAGAGTTAACAATACAACGGAGAACTTTTTTTTTTTTGGTACTGGGGATTGAACTTGGGCCCTTGCGATTGTGAGGAAGGCGGCAGAACCACTGAGCCAAATACCTGGTCCAAAGGAGAACCTTCATAAGTGCTTCAAAGTGGCAAGAACCATGTGATAAATGTGTTCAAAGCCAAGAGAAAGTTTTTCCTTTGTTTCGTTTTTTTTTTTTTTTTTTTTTTATTTTTTTTTTTTTTTTTTTTTTTTTTTGGTACCAGGGATTGAACTCAGGTCCCTGCACTTGCAAGGCAGGCAGCAGAACCACTAAGCTAAATCCCTGGCCTGAGAAAGTATTTTTTTTTGCATGGGATTAATGGTAATGTGTCTTTTACTATAAACTGATTTAGACATTAACCATATTTTCATCACACTGCAAATATATGTGACAAAATTGGTATATTTAATTTTTAATTTAAATATTTAAATTTTTGAAAGTTGTCATTTTGCCATTTTTTCAAAGATATATGGTACTAATAAGCAAATAAAATACAGATTATGGATCAACCTTAACTTCTCTGCAAAAAATTTAGGCTTCCATTTATAATTGTAGTAAACACTGACTTCTGCTACCAATAACCTATAATGTCTCCATCTCCTCTATCCTATTCCTATCATCTATTCTTTGCTGCTGTTACGGGAACAGGATGAATGGAATATCAAGTTCTACATAACATAGAAGCCAATGGCTCCCTGTGGGATAATTTATTTATCACAATTAAAAAATAAAACCAGTGACTGGGGGTGTTGTTCAGTATGAGAGTGCTTGCCTAACTTACTCGACGCCCTGGGATTAATCTACAGCATAACAAAAATCAATTACTTAACAAATAAATAAATGATTCCCTGCCCCGACCCCAGTGACTTGGGCATACAGGCCCAAGCCAAAGACTTACCTAGAAAAGAGCACAAGCAGTGGCCAGAGGCCTGCCCCAATACCATCACTAAGTGCATTCAGATCCTGGTGAACAATGGTATGGACCAGAGTGGCTCAGAAGCAGGTAGATCCAGCCAGAACCCTGCCCCAACCCCAGCGTCTTGGGCACACAGCCCCAAGCTAAAGGCCCACTCACAAAAGAGCTGCATAGGTGCACAAGAAACAGACAGAGGCCCACCCCGATACCATTAGTTAAGTGCGTGGAGACCCTAGCCAGAATCCTGCTCAGACACCAGGAACTGGGGTGTACAGTTCCCAGCAAAAGGTGCTCCCAGACAAAAGCTACATAGGGGACCTAGCCAGATGCATACCTAGATACCATCCCAAGTGTACACAGGGCCCAGCCAGAAGCCCACCCAGGCAAAAGGTTAGCTTAGAGATCCTGAAGGCCACCATTCTGAACCCAGGAATTGGTGTACTGGTGAGCAGCAGAGA